TTTAGGGGTTTCAACCCCTTTTTTCTCGAAAACGTGACGTGATGGGAAGTTTTGGACCCCAGATTCGTGTTCAGCACGAAAAATCCGTTCGGAAACACCAGGTCCCGTCTTATTCGCAAAACCCTTGTAGACCAGTGTAATTATTATTGACTTTTATTTTATTGCCCGAAAGAAATTATTATCACTTGATTTTAATTTTTGCTATCAAAAATGATTATTTTATAATATTTATTTTTTCGCTCAATGCTAATAATTATTATTGAGTTTTATTTTTTGCACTTAGAATAGATCATTAGAATATTGATCATTCAAAAAACGCAAAAGCTACACTAGCGTGATTTCCGACGCGTCCTTTTCAGAGGTAGCGACGTCCTAATAAGTAAGAGGAATAAATCTAAAAATTTCAGTTGGTTGCGCCTGTACAGCCTGAAAAAATAAGACTCATTAAAAATTATTATATCTGAGCGAAAAAGTGAAGTCAAATAATAATCAATATATGTGACCGAACAAATAAAAATAAAAAAATATTTTTTTCCGTTGAGCTTAAAAAACAAACTGAATAATAATGATTATTTTTAAGCAAAAAAAAAATAAAAATTATAAAATGCCTAATGATTTAAAGCCGATTTAAATTATTTTTCTTATAATGATTACGGTAGCTCACTAAAATAAAATATGTGTATGTATTGAATTACGACGCTCTTCCAGTAAATAAGCGATATGTAAAATTTGCTGTACATAAACTGTTTTTATTTTAAAAATATTTTAATATTTTAAACGTTGGCCGCTAAAAATTCATATTTCAAGTTGCTATTTATTTTTTTATATGTATATGTATGTATGTATAAAGTATGTAAATCTATAGGTAAGCATACATACATTGTTATACATATGCGTGCGTGTATACACTTTCACCACATATACTATATGTATAATAGTATGTACAAATCTTCGTGCATATGCATGTTTTTACAAATTAGTACAGTCTTACATATTATAATATATAATGCATTGTTTTTGAATGTCAAAAGCCGTTTACTCATATACATTTTGCATTTAACACAAACACATATAGATAAGTAATAGTTAATAATATAACAAAAAGTTTTCAGCTAGTCATTTAATTATTTAAAAACAAGAAGATGATTGCGACCTACATAAATAATTAAAGATGTGATAGTACAAAATATTTTTTTAACAACCTAAAAAAATTTTGTGTAATTTCTATTGGCTCGGAATAAATCAAATTATTATAGTTACTTACGAAATACATTTTTATATTTATTAAAATATATCATATAGTTTTGATTGAAATTTAACATAATTTTTCTTCAATGTAAAATACTTGCTTTTCACACATGCAAAAGTAACTAAAAATATGAAAGCATATTTAATTGCAAATTCAGTTTGGCCATGGGTTTTTTTTTTGTATCGGAAATCAAGAACGAAACCTGTTTACCAATGTAGCAATAATAATTGATCCAATTACAATAGGGGCATTCTTAATGTTTTGCAAAGCCCTTGCACCGCGCACAAATTGCCCAGTAAAATCCAGATTTCCAATGGGACATCTCTGCAAATCGTGCACCGTTCAAGGGCTTTGCGCAACTACGAGAATACCCCTAATTAGTTAAAATTAAGATGCAACGTTTCTGTGTATGCATTTTCAATAATATCTCCTCTTGAATACTCCTGAAGGGTATTAAGTACTTACAACGTATTTTCTTATTAAACACTAATTTCCAATTAAGTTTATTGCAATTTTTCACGATTTTACAAGTTTTTCCCAGATTATATAAACCAAACTACAACCTTTTTTGCATCGTCTAAGGTTAGCCGATAACTAACGGATAAACAACAAAAGTGCATTGCAATTAAAAATTTTGAAGGCGAGGCGATAGAGCAGCGATGATTGGGCCACAAATGAAGGGGTTAGTGTCAAAAGGATCTAAGTAGGTCTGACATTGTTTTAAGATAATTAAAGTTGTTTACTTATTGTGACTTATGGGTAAATTCATTTGAAATGATTCTTGCCTAAATGAATGCAGGTTAATTAACTAATTCAAAGAATGTTTACTTTTTGTCACCAAATAAATACTGTATTTAACTATCCAAATATGGGTATAACTTATATTTTCAATAAAGTCACTTAGACCCTTGTGATTCTAACCCCTTCAATTGTGCAGATACCCTTAGCATCCGTCCTGTCAATTGAACGTTGAAAGTTACGAATTTAGAAACGGCTCCAAAAACAACACTATGCAGCATTTAGGAGAACGCTACCCTAAGCAAATATAATTTTAATTTTGCAGTTCCGGCTAGTGAAGGACTTTCACAGCACAAAAAAAATTTCTTTGTAAACTGTTTATGTTGAAGCAAAAAAAAACTCATTAAAGTAAATAGGTACACTGAGGAGAAAAAATATTAAAATCAAATTGAAACGTAATTGATCTTACTATAAACGTCAACGAAAGTACTGTATATTGGCAAATATTCAATTCAAATACGCTCATATTAAAATGACCGCGTTCGTTCTGAAAAAGCATCCGTGAAGTGAATAATCAAGACAAATAGAAAAAAAAACAAAAATTTAATTTGCATGTTGCTTGCAGTGGAATTCGAACCCTGACTATCTCTGGATATCAACAAAATGTGGCAAGCATTTTTGCGTACTCAGCTGCACGCTCAGCTACAGCCAGACATGTAAATGTTCAGTTTGACTTGTGTGCAAACAGCAAGTCGACTGTCCGACTCTGCATTTAATTTCAACTAATTTAAAATGAATTTGGTTTACACAACTTTAAAGTCAGTATGTTTCTTTTGAAAACGCTTGCGTTCTGCACTTCACAGATGCTTTTTCATACTTTCTTTAGTCTTTCAATTAGTTAATTAAAAAAAAAATCACTTGTTTCCGTCAGGGCACTCTGCATGCTTTGGATGCGTATGTACACTTACATATACATACTCAGATGTGAACAGTCAAATACATGTGTAATACATTTTTGTATGAAAATATCATTTTTACTATGCATTATTTCCCTCAGTGTACACACAGAAAGCAGAGCGATGCCGGACGAAGCAAGGCGGAGCGAAGCCAAGTTCCAGGTGTTTACGATGAATGAGGCTGAGCGGAGCTTTTCGTATGGACTCGGCTTCAAAGATACCACAAAATTTACCTTAAATGAAAAGCGGCTAGAACTCACATCAAAAGATTAGGGGAAAATTCATTTGTATTTAAATAAAGTTAAATTTTTGATCCACATCGGCTCGGTTTGGCCCCGCTACGGGGGTGGTACCAGAAGTACTCGACCTAATAAAGAAAACACAAAAGTTTTGGGAAAAAATATATTTATTTTTCAACATAATCTCCTCTCAGCTCTATACACTTTTACCAGCGATGGTCAATAAGTTCGATACCCTTTTTATAATAAGAACTGTCTTGCTCACCAAAATAGCCATTAACTGCCGACATCATTTCTTCATCGTTAGAAAATCTTTGACCGCGGAGCCATTTTTTGAAGTTGGGGAACAGAAAATAGTGCGAGGGGGCTAAATCTGGCGAACAGGGTGCATGAGGTAGCAATGCAAGCATTAATTAAACACGCAATTGTAACCTCTTCACGACACAGTTTTTGGTCGAGTGTGAGCAAACGTGGCACCCATCATGCACACAGCTTTCTCAGACCAAAGTATAATCTATTTCAGCTTTTATATTGGATGGGCTAAGGCCTTCCAAATAAAAGTATTGTATCACATAACGATGACCAATTTTCTCCTTTTTCACAAATTGACTGAAAACGTTCACTATTGACGGCTGCCAAGCATATACTAAACAATGTGACGTCTTCAAACATGGTACATATGCTTTATAGATTGTGTACTTTTTAACACAGTGATATTTTTCAAACAACTACCGCCATTTCTAGGTTAGACCGGGTACTTTTGGGACCACCCCCGTATGTACATAGCATCGCCTGGATAAACGATTGTCTTAACACGTTCGCTACCAGGCGTCACATACATGTGTCAGCTGGGTTTTCACGTGGGACCGCCGACACAAATGTGTGTTAGCGGGTTGTTGGATGCAGTATGGTCTATAGGAAGGTCTGGCACACGTTTGTGACAAGTAGTCTCGGGATTACAGCTACCTGTGAAGTATGAGGTTATGTTTATTTACAGTGCACATGTGAAAGTCTTTACCGACTTTGAGAGAGAAAATATTAGCTTCATAGTGAAATAAATACTAAGACGACGGTAAGTACATATATTTAGGCTTGTTTGAACATAATAAATGTGAACCAAAAGGGCAAGTATTGAGCCATGTTTCAGAGAATTTCACGCCCAAAATAAGCCATAATGCTACTGTGTTTTCACCTAGACGTAATTTTATGCAAGCTTTGTATTTTTGAATAAAACTGAGTTAGATAAAGCCCTGAAGTTTAGCCTATCAAATAAATGTGACCCTTGTCTATACCGAAAAATATCTCTATAGACCTGCGTCACAAATATGTGTCAGGCGTAAAGCAATTACTTTTATTATAAATGTGAGTTTCTGAGATACCTAATGACAACTACACTAGACAAAAATCACTAAAATTCTACCTGGCCTGTAATGACGCACTGCTTAAATACGCTTGGTAGCGAACGTGTTAAGCGCGATTTTGGCGGTTTTTAGTTATAGATGCAGTGTACATACTTTAAAATAAGAACTTTCTATTGGTGGATGCCTCCTTCAGTTTCCGAGATACGGACTAAAATTTGATGGATATTTATGTACAAATTGATTTAATAAAACAGTCTTACTAAACAAATCAAGATCTTTGAAATAGGGTTATCCATTTTTGAATATGTCTTTTACGCATACGACAAGATTTTACTACAGGAAATCCTTCATATACTCAAAAAAATAAAATAAAAAAATAACAATAAACAATAAAAATAAAATAATTTACAAATTTCGTAAACTATGTGATAATATTCTGCGAGACTTTGGAGAAAATCTATCGTTCTCGTTTCTGAGAAATTGTATTTCAAACTTCAATCGCGATTTTCCACAACATGCCGAAAGTAATGTACGAAAATCTTTTAGCCAGGCGACGATAAGTATGTATTAGCCGTTTTGAAGTCTGTAACTTATTTACATTATTGGCTATAAGTGAAGGAACAATATGCCAGGTTAATGCATTTTAACACTCACGCTGTACTTAGTTATTTTAGTCTATTTGAAGGCAAGGTTATTGTAAAAAAGAAACGATAAAACGTTTAAAATGGCCAAACAAATTGGTTTAATTTAAACCGTTAAACAATCAAATTTTCCGAGCAGAAATGCAGACTAGCAAAAATGTCTTCAACACAGTACATAAAAAAGCGCCGTTTTAAATGCCCTGGTTTCTGGTTACCCGGTGCAATATATATATATATGTATGTGTAGCTATTGTATTTTGTGCTGGATACCCGTATCCCGTTTAACCGGCAAACCGAAACGATTGAAATGGCTATAGGCATGTAGAACTATAGAATTTCAAAGCTAAACCCCTACGGTGGCTCTAGGATGTTCTTCTAAAGTATATTAATTTAAAATTTGTATTTTTTTTTGTCAAAGGGTATTGTCTAAAAGTCATTTGAAATCGTTTTTTTTTTTTTTTTAATTTTTAGGTCTGAACTAAATACACTCCTTTAATGAATTCCTTCCGAGTTTCTGAATATCTAGACTCTGACATGTCTGAAACTACTGTAACAAACGTACATTGTATTATGGTGAATGGCTGAAAGCTGCACTTCCTAACAAATATACATAGGTTCATCTGTGAGCTGAGAAATGGCTAACAAGATTTCTTATTTCCATAGGAAAAAACAAAGAAACACTATATAAACCTTAACTGTGATCGTTCCATACCTATAAAGTGTAAAGAATTATTCAAAAAGCTTCTTCCTCGGGGCAGCTTATGGTTATGAGTGCTTTAAAAACTCGGCTTGCGTACCCGTGAAGTGGCCAAGTCTGCTCTAAAGTTAATCGGAAGTGATTTTTAAAACATAAAGTGCAGTGATTTAAAACACTCAATCCTCATTTAAAATTTGCGAGCTTTCACATTTTTCCCACTCTTGATATTCTCCTTTTACTGCAGAGGAAATGCTGTCTTCGTATTGTTAAAATATGGAAAGCTTTTCTAAACCACAGAGGTTGGAAGCTAGTCGCTTTTATATACACATCCGTATGTACATATGTCTTCTAAGGCAAACGTTCAGCATTAAATATTATTAAAACATAATATTTATAAAATTTTTTTAATTACATGACATCATTTTTCCGCTGACTAAATTCTAACCACTACTTTGACTTTTGTGAATGTTAAAATATAGTTTAAGTTTTACTATATTGGCGTAAAGCGAGGCAAAACATATGACTTTCTTAAGCTTTTTTGAATCGTTAAGAAATTAAATTATTTATTTGATTAATTTTCTTAAATTTTTTACGACTATATTGAATTTTTTTAATTGAGAAAATGTAAAAATTTTTGTATTTTAGCTTGTTTAGTCGATGAAATGCAAAGCTTGGTGCTTGAAAGATTAAGTAAAAATATTTGTTATTAAAAAAACATTTTTTCTATAATAAAATGTTACATTTATAATTTACAAAACTAACAATATTGGAAGTACGTAATTTATTATGAGCTTTGAGCACAAAATGTCGTGCAAGCGGAAATGTGCTTCAACATTCTTTCCTGAATATTATTGGACTTCTTTTTTACACATATTTAGATATGCATATTTGCAAATATGACGGTATGCTTTAATCATTTTGTTTATTTTAAAATAAACTTAAATCCGCAATTCATTAATAAATACATACATTAAATAGAAAGCATATTTTGAATTCTAATAGCTAATATGCATAAAACAAAATATTTAATTGCACTTTAAAGCGATATTACTAAAAATTCACATGTGGCTGATATACAAATGTATGTTTATAAATTATAAACATTAAAGTATCTTTTTTTTTAATTTAAAAATCTATTATTGAGCAATGGTAAAATCATAAATGAGCACTTAGGATTTTTTATAAAAACTATACGCATTCATAGCAGTAGATAGATTACACGCTGGAACGAAATTTTCAAAATTTGTTTTTTTTTTCTAAACCTTCCACAACTGCTTGCATACATACATATATTGGAATGTTCCTTTATTGTATTTTATTTAGTATTTATAAATTAATTCATGTATGTACATATGTATGGGTTTATGTACATACATACCTTAAAAATAAATTGGAATCAATACGCTACCAAATCGTTGGATTTTGAAACTGGTATGGACTGCAAGGCTGAACTTTCATCCATACAAATATTTGATTTTTCCGTACTTTAAGTAATGGTACTGTGTCGTAAGTATGTGTACATGTGTATGTACATATCATAAATGTTTTTTTTTTGCTAAATTCGTTTATTTGTAGGTATGTATGTATATAGGGAGTACATATCGAGCCCTAACTGCCACAAAGATGTAAGTGACATTTTTTTTTCAAAAATTTCATTTTGATGCAGAAGTGTTCGTCGAGCATCTAAATGCATTTTTTGCATCAAAATTAAAATTTTGAAAAAAGGTCGCTTATATCTTTTTGGCGGTTAGAGTTCGATAAATACTCCGACCAACGCTGCACATTGATCCACAAACGAGACCTTCATAAATACATATCGTCGTTTAAAGTACAAAACCGCGTAACTGACATTTGCTGCCAAAAATTGGATTTGCTCACACAAGCTCTTGGCTCAATCCTTATCCATTCATCATGAAATATACTAGCCAGAAATGCTTTATAAAAATGAGAACCATTTTGAAATATGAGTGTTTTTACTTTCTAGGAAATAATTTATCCAACCTCACATACGCGGCTTTGCATTTTGTTGATACGCGGTTTTGCATTTTGTTGATACGCGGTTTTGTACTTTAAACGACGATATTTACTCGTATTTATGATATATGTAATTGTTTTAACAGCCTATCCAGCCCTATAATTTTATATACATACTATGTATATTTTGGATAAACAAATTTTGCAAGCATTTAAATATTTAAAAAAATTGTAAGCATATGTAATTGCTACATATACTACATACGTACATATATTGATATATGTACATGCGTATATATTGCATAAAATGTTTCTATCTGTGTAAATATTTCATAAAATATTTATGTTTTAAACTACTATTTAACATTATTAATTATATATAGGTAGCTCAAAATCATCTCATTCACGCATTCAGCATTCATTTTCTTTGCGTCGCACTGCTCTTACACACCGGCTCCCGCGTTGGCTGCACTACACATTCTCGCACAATAAATTCATTTCGCTGCTATTTGGTGGAGAAGGAAGGAGTCAATACTTTCTATTTGCAACTCCCTTTCCCGTCGAACCGCTCAAGCATTCTTTTTGCTGTTCTGTTTGTTCAGCATCGCTTGCAATTTGTGCAATTGACTTAGTAGATTTGCATTCGTATGCTCCAATGCGTCACAACGTTTGCGTTGCTCATTATTCTCATTGACGAGTATTTCGACGCGACGCTCTAGTTGATCCATGTACTCCTTCTTTTTGCGCCGACTCTCTTGTGCGGAAATCTGAAGGCGAAAGAATTTTTTCATTGAATTAGTTGTGAATTTTTATGTAGGTATATGGAAAACAAATATCTTTTCCAATCTGTGTTTTTAATGACTATTCTCTAACGTGTATCCAAAAAGTGTTTAGCTCAGACGAAATTAAGACGGCTGTGACTAACCCTACGTCGCCACCTTCTATAGATTCTGTTAAAAAAGCTGTGTTAAGACAGAAATGTCAGGTGGAGACCGCAAATTTCCACTGTTAAACCATATCTGCCTTGCCGAATTTCTTACCATCGCTTACTTAACATCAGCTGTCATTTCTTAGTTTGACAACTCAGTTTTCATTTTACCGCGCCATTTACATTGGGTACAGATCGATCGGATGGGCTTGATGCCGTTTTGAAAGTGATATGCTAAGACAGCAAGTTGCCCACATGCGAGAACGGGAAATTTAACAGATGTCAAGACACATTTAGCAGACGGTGGAGACGTGGGGTAAGCTTTGAATGCTCGAAAATATTAAAGTGATGTTATTACTTCTATGAACTGTATGAAATATGTAATAGTATGCTACACAGTTCGACAAAGTTTTGAGCCTGAATTCCTCAAATAAACACATTTTTTCATATATGAAAAAAGTGCAAAAATGTGTCAGAAAAAAATACATATATATTAAAATTCAATGCAATCTTTAGCCACTTGAATCTTGCACTCACGACTTTAAAATTGTATGGGCTATAAAGCGGCATACCAAAAAATTTTGTAAATATTCAGATTAAAAAGTTCGAAATTTTGATAAAAACTTGTTGAAATTTCCTAAAGTTTGAATCTTTGATTTATATGGTTTTGGCTAAAGTTGGACAATATTTTTATAGAAAAATAACAGAAAAAAGTTACCTTGAAAAACATTGTGAATATTTAAAAAAATCGACGCGTGAGCCACTATATGTGCATTAGACTGTGTCAAATAAATCGAACGTTTTGTTTCTTTTCCTCTTTCAAAGGCTCCGAGAGATTTAACTTTAATAGGCATTTGGTAAATTGTGAAATTGGTGAATGACACAAATAACACTGGTTTACAGCAAAAATGTTCAATGTATGCCACCACGGGCGGCGAAACGCCCTGTGCCCGGGTGGGTAGCTCTGCAGGTGGCAAGAGTATAGAGGTAAAGAAAATAGGTTGCCGATGTAATTGAGAAGGTAACCAGATTTCGTTAGAAAAACTTGTTGTTTTTGGAAGTTTGCCAACATTTTAAAATCATATAAAATCGAGAGTAAAACAAAAGGAATTGTTCAAAGTTGTTGTTGTTTAAGATTGAAAATGGGAATGTGAGTGTGAGTTTGTGTGTAAAATTTTAAAATTAAATTGCTTGCAAACGTCAAGAATTTAAAAAATTCCTCTCAGCGGTTCTACCTTCCTATTTTTTTATCATGGTCTCTTATGCTTTGTTGTTTGTGTTTGGTTTTGCTGTCACGTAAAATCACAATAAAAACAACTACATTTATATAAACTTATTTTGTATGTACATATTATGGACCCATGATAGAAAAATCATGTTATAGACCATAAGCGATGGTAATATCTGATGTGCGCTGCCACGTAATGTACCATTTTCATCAATTTTGGCTTAAGAATAAAATATGCAAATGCTTGTTTTGAACCGTTTAGAAATTCGCTGCAAAATGTATCCTGCCACATCATGGTACAATAATTACAGGTATTGTCTTCTCAGAGAGCGCATATTCCAATCTGCCTTATTTGAAAAATATCATTGTTGCCCACACTAAAACGTTTACTGCTAGGGAAAAGAGATATTTCCATACCCCATATACCATATATGTACACGTATGTAAATATTTTTTTAAACAAACTATCTTGCAGAGAACTTATTTAATTTGCAAAAGCCGGTAAAAACATTTGCTTGTAAATAAATTCCAAGATTTGTATGACTTACTTTCACTTGATTTGTTTGTAACAGAAGAGGCTTTAGCACAACTGCAAGAATTTTACACAGAACCTATTCGTTTTTTAACTTTCCTCCAGTTAAAACTTGATTTTTTAAAAAAAAGCTGGAATGATTAATTAATTTGTCAGAAACTATCAGTCCTATCGGAAAGTGATGTATAGGCGGTTTATGGTTTTGTTAACTTTCATTTGTCGTATTCCATTTTCAGTTAGTTAAATTGGTTCATGAGATATAAGCTATTAAGTGGAACCACCTTTTGTTTTAAGCTGAATAACGGTAAATTGAAAATATCTCGAAAACGTATTCATACAATAAAAAATTAACTCGATTTTTGGAATCAGCGGGCGATTCTACATACAAATTCGACAGTGGCGTCTGGAGAACAAAAACCAAATTATAATTTGTGATCCAGTGTAATGCGTGGTCAGGGCGTATGAGTAATTTTTTAGACAACAAATGTTCCAATCAAGGTACATTGAACAGGTAGTATCAGTAGAGCAGCTGATTTGATTTATTTTCAAATTATTTGGTCTCGAAAATGTCAAATATTTTTAATTTTTTCTCACAAAAATTCTGAATTGTTAAAATCCATTTGCATGTGAAACCTTTTTCCATACAAAACAAGCGATTGAATAGCAGCTTTTGGAACGATCGCCCAACTCAGCAGCACAACCGCTGATTACTGGGCCTTGCAAAGGATGGATCAATGCTTCGAGAAGCAAACAAATTTACTAGGAAAGAAAGTTGCATCAATTTTTATTTTTTCCAATTTCAATTTTTTATTTTTTATAATTTTTTGTATTTCACATGGCACGCTTTGATTTAGAAGAAAAAATTCAGAACAGTTTTTGACACTTTCGATACCAGAAGCAACAACAAAATACACGCAAATGTTGTTTTTGCTCTACTGATACTACCTGTTTAATGTGCCTTGGTTCCAATAGATTTTGAAAACGTACTATGAATTAAAAAAAAAAGGTTGTTTCAGTCGGAAAAAATCCACCGTTACAGTCTATTCTGCTCGTTAGCAGCAAATTTTATTGCCAGAACTCCTACCACTGCTAATAACCGCGATTCAAGGCAGCTACTAAGCAATACATTTATGTTAGAATGGGTGGAATTACATATTTTAATTACATATTTCAAGCAGGTGACAACCTCTTCAAAATATTTTCAAACTACTACTTTCTGAAATCCTTTCGTTTGGCACCCATATGGTGATACATATTTCTTTTACATACATAATATGATTTTTTAAATAGGTGGCAACTCTCCTTTAGTTCAGCTAGGAAACAAAGCTTTTCAAAACCATTTCGATTGATACCCTGTTTGTAAAAATTTATTTATTTTTTTAAATAATTTGAATATAATTTTTTAAAAGGTGGCAACTCTTTTCAAAAAAGTTAAACCCCATTGCACATCTGCAGTCGAAATCTTTTAGTTTGACGCCTTATTTTGGGAAAATCGATCGAACGGTGCGGATTTGGTGGCATTGATTATTAAATAATATGAATTAAAATTTTCAACAGGTTTTTCTTTTCGAAAAACTAAAACCAGTTTGCAGATCTACAGATCAAGCGCTTTAATTTGACATCTCATATTTGAAAATCTAGTTAAAGGGTGCAAATCTTTTATCCTGGACAAAAAATCGCTTCGCGTATTATATGGGGTCTGACGGAAGCACGTGATTTTTTTTTTTTAAATCAACTAATTGAAGGACTACTTTAAAACAAATGCAATGAGTAAATGTTTCGAATTTCGATACTTGTTTACTCAAAGAAACAATTTGTGTCTTGGAGGTATGAAAAAGCATATTTTAAATTTTTAATTTCGGGTTTTCTTAATTATGAAAAAGCATCTGTGAAGTGCAGAACGAAAGCGAATTCAAACGACTGACCTTAAAGTTGTTTAATCCAAATGCATTTTAAATTAGTTGAAAATACATGCAGGAAAAGGTAATTGACCGCTTCCTAGGACATAGCCATGCCAAATAAATGAGTTCGTTGCAGGTAAAATAGTGAGAATTTCAATTGGTTATCATTGAAAATAAAGTAGTTTATAAATTGCTTTTAAATTAATTAAGTTTCCTGCAGGGTGTATATAGATTGTTACCAAGGTACTTAGAATTGCGGTTACAAGAAGTGATGTTATTTTTTGGTAACAAAATTTTCCGGTGTAAAAATGTTCGGTAACAAGCAGAATTGGCCTGCTAGAGTAAATATGCATAACTGAGCCATAAGACTTCGATCAAAAGCGGTTAAAGTAAATATGTGTGGAATGCGATTGGAAAGATTTATAGAAAAATACCAGTGTTGCCATTTTAGCCGTTTTCCGGCTAGATTTAGCCGGTTGCGATAGCAAACAGCCGGAGAAATTTCGATTTAGCCGGCAGCCGATTTGTTAGTCGTTTTGCCAAAAAAAATTAGCCGTTTTTAGCCGATTTTGCTATTTGCCTTGTTTTCTTAAATTTCAAATATGTATATATTTTTCCATTTTTGACTAAGCGACCCAAAATCTGTTATAAATGGCTACTAGCCTTATCGCGGAGAAAATTTTCATGTCAGGCAGGATTGTATGAAATTGGGCCGATTTCGCTTATTTTTATTTTAAACGAAGAAGGGATTTTCTTCATAAAATGTTTGTTATAAATGTCTTAATTCTAAGTGTGAAGTTTTATTCGCAAACTTAGAAAATAAGAAATTGTTTCACTGTTAAGACTCTTAAGATGCGTTTGTGTTTGGATATAGTGCCAACAAACAGAATTACATGTAGATATTGTCTTCCCAGATAGCGCATATTCAATTCTGCCTAAATTAAAAAACATAATTTTTGCGCACTGTAATGGAAAAATTGATATTTTCAAGCACTATGTACACATATGTATTTTTTTAAACAAACGTTTTTGCTGAGAACTTATTCAAATTCCAAAAACCGAATGCCAACTTGAATTAAAGGAACCAACACAGAAGTGAGTCATAATGAAAATAAAAGAGCACAAATTTTTATGTAAAGCAAAACTCGCTGGGAATCCTATGAGTCATCTTCCGGCCATATGACCGGTCATCTAAATGGGAGATCTGCAGTCTTTTAGCATCATATTTTACATCAGAATTGAAGGGATTTCTGAAAAATGACCAGTTCTTTTGTGTAACTGTGATTTTGCATCCCTTGTCAACATATGGCCTCGGTTGATGTTAACTTAAGGCCATTGTTTTACTGCCTTAGAATTGAAGGGAAATTTTTACAGCGTTTTTTAAGTGTATTGGTTTCTATTTGAGTGTATTGAGAATCAATCAGTCTGAAAAGGCCTTGTAGGGAAGACAATAGGTTTGTTCGTCGAAATTTCAGCGAAAATTATCACTCAAAATATCAGATAGTAATAGTAATAAATAGTAGTCCTTTCAAATCATTGGAATTAACTAAATTAATTAAGTAAACAAGTATTAACTTACATTTTTCATTTTAAAATCGCTCCAGTTTGTAAATTTTTAAATTTAACGAACTTGGTTATTCAAATTATCGTCGACAAAAAATCCAACCATGTGCCACAATCATATGTTTTTCCTAATTGCAAATTCTTGCTGGCAAAATTTTTTTCGGCTCGAATTTGTAACTTCTCTCCAAGAAATAGTCTTTTTACTCGTGATTTATTTAAATAAAACATGTGAAATTTAGTTGAAACATTTTAGCCGTTTTTAGCCGGTTTTCTTTGCCAATTTAGCCGGTTCATCCAAAAAGTTCTGGCAACACTGAAAAATACCTTAAACTATTTTGATTTCTCGTCGAATTTAAAATCCAAACGAACTTTCGTATATGTACTCTGTTTAGCTCCGCTCGGTTTCCCTAAAACCTGTTTATTTTTGTAGTGATGATCTACTTGCTGTGTAAACCCGGTTTCGTCAATTCTATGTGAACTAAAATGATAAGGATACATCCTTAAGCATATATGTACATCCTTATTTAGGCATTTACGGATTATATATTAAAGGAATTTTTTGATAGGATAAATGTGCCCGGAGATCTCGATTTTCGGACAGAGGAGCAACCGTTATCATACAACTCTCTTGATATCTATCCTAAATTTCTTATATTCAGTCTAATATGTACATATGTATTGCCTGCCAGGGACTGCCAGTCTTTGTTGCTATTGCCCAGCATTTTATTTAGTCTCCTAGAAGAGGTACTCCTAAGGTACATGGTGAGAGCGAATAATAGTGCAAGTGTATCCTAATAGCGATATATGTGACACGTAAAGTTAAAAGGGACCTACGCTCAGAAAAAAAGATTTCGAGAAAAACGACTTTGAAGTTTACCAAGTTGATTTTGATGCTTCTGAAAGTTTTAATGGATTGAAACTCGTTACTCGGGGGTTTTCGGGGTCGGTGATTACGAATCCGATGTTAGTTTTCCAAAATTCAAAGTGGCGGATCCAATATAGTGGATGACTTTTTTAAAAATTGATCGGAATCGCTTGAAACTCGTTACTCGGGGGTTTCTGGTGTCGCAGATTACGAATCCGATGCTTGTTTTTTAAAATTCAAAATGGCGGATCCAACATGGCGGAAAAAATTTTAAATTAATTTAAATTTCAAGAGACACTGCCTTTTTGGCAATGAAAACAACCAGCGGAAATAATCATAGTCGGTTGGAAAACATTTTTGGTATTATGAATGAACAAAAAAAGTGTATAATCCCTATCCCTTAGGGAGCTTACCTTATTTTTGATTTTTCTTCGGATTTTCTTGAGTGACTTTTCCTCAGCCTTGGTAAGTGGTAGCTTTTGCGGGATTGGATATCCTTCTGCTTGCAATGTGCGTTTCTCTTCTTCGGTTAGAATCAGCACGCCTGTGGAGCCTTTCTGTTCATTCCATAAAACAAAAACGGAATTGCTATAATTAGTATTGATTTCAAGATATAAATAATCAATATTTTCTCTACCGGCTGAGTGCTAATAAGCGGGGTGTGTATAGGCTGACGTGTGGAACCAGTAGTCCCACCTGCCGCATGTCGGCCGGCGACGTGCAGGGATGATGTCGATGACGATGCAGATGATGGCGATGAAGAGCTGCTGCTACTGGCACTACGGGGCACGTTTGCGGAATGTAGAGCAACGGGCGAAATGACTGCAGGGTTAGCCACAGATATAGAAACTGAAGTGTTGGGCGAAAGTGGCGATAGTATATGTTCCGGTGTTAAATTACCTTCAGAATCACCATCACTTGATGAGCAGGAGGGTGGCGTCAGCGGCAGACCATATTGACCGTTATGCTTCGCGGGAACATTAACACTACTATAGCCATTCTCGGACTTTATATTAAATTTAGGCATTAAAATATTTTGACCTTTGGTGGCGGCGCTGGCGTTCAGGGCGAGCTGTTGCGCTTTGAGTAGGCTCTGTGAGGCGGGAGTTAGCTGCAGGCAACCGTTCTAGGGTTAATGCGGAGTTGGAAAATTTATTAATATTAAGCGTATTTAATCGAAGAACATTGATTGAGTACTGACCTTATGTTCAAAGACGAGATCGGAGTTAGAGCGCGCGGCCAAATGAGAGATTTTCGCCATTGTCATACATTCTGGCGAGTTTGGGCTGGGCGGGCAACTGGAATCTGGCGACATGGGCTCATCCTTTATGGCTGACTCATCGATCTCAATGTCTGAACAGATGTCGGGCGAGGAGCTGCCTTCGCGTACAGATGACGGCGTATGACAACTGCTCTGTTCAAAAACTGTGCTGACCGACGTTTGAGGTAGGTACTGTTGGAGGTTTGCCGGTGTGGCGACGGCGGGTTTACCCAGTGTAATGGTAGTTGTGTTGCTGCCGCTGAAAGTGGAGCTGCTGCTGTTGCTGGATGTGCCACTCGACGTTTCGGCGGTACGCAGGTTGAATGTCATCGGTGCGGTGGTGTTGATTTTACTAAGGCTGGCATAGATGCCAGCGTTTGTGTAGCGTATGGGTAGCGCTGCAGCAGTTTGGCGGGTATTTGTGCTCGCTGTAAGGTTGTTGCTACCGGTTGCTGTGCTGGTGGCGACGTTAAGTGTGCCAAATGATGCAGGTGTTGATGCGGAGGCGGCGACTGTGGCAGTTGTGAGCAATGTATTTGCTCCCTTACTATTGCTTGTAGCGTGGTTGCTGGTTTCCACGGTGGACAATTCCATCGGTGTGACATCGCACTCCACAGATATGGCTAGACATTTGGGATCGACGCCGCTGGAAATGTCTACGTCATGCCGTAATCGTGCTGTGTTGCTGGTTGCGGTTTTTAGCGAAATTGCAGGATAGCATTCGTCTTCCATGTCTGCGTGAAGATGAAAAAGGAAAGTAAAAGAAGGAGGTGAGTTATTATTGAATCATAGCGGGTATGATGACTCAGTTTAATTACAAAGAGTATTTACTTTTGCCATAAAGGCAATGGACTTCGGCAGCTTGCTGATATTTTTTCTACAAAATACATAAAGTAATATTCAATATATACGAGGTCAAGCATTGAACTCCCTGTGGAAATTTTTGGACAGAAAATCATATTTGTATACTTTTGACAAAATAATTTCAGCATTTAAGAAGTAAAGGAACTCGTTAAATTGACTATTGACACTGGGTGATTGACTTATAATTTTTTGTTGCTAATTAAAAAAATGCCTCTCCATAGGCGAAATAAGAAAAAATTGGAATATGCAATTTATAGCTCTATTCGTTGAGTAAGAATCATTTTCAAGCCCATAAAGTACGTACATACATATGTATATTAAAAAAGTATAACAACAAAGATATTAGGGTGATCCAAAATAACTAACCTACCGAATCTATGGTCTTAAAATCACCTATTTACTGAGATGTATTTATTTATTGAATCTTTCTTTCGAAACTAACAATAAGTTTTCAAATCTTGCAAACTACCATTAAATTTAAAATTTCTGCGGCAATGCTTAGAAATTTTGTATTTTTTTTACATATGTATACATATATGGCAGTTGTTGTGGCTGTCGGAATGGACAAGATTCCGAGCAGCAGGATCGCTGGCTAACGTGCTGGGCAGGCGGTCTGAAAGGATGAGTTCCAGAGCCGCACTGCCTTCGCTTCTCTGTATTTAAGTAATTACAAACCAGTAGGCTGTGTTCAGTCGGAAAAGACAAGTTCCCGAGCCGCTCTGACACTGGCGTTGAGTAGTCGGTCTGAAAGGACGAGTTCCAGAGCCGCAATTGATATATTGCGGATATCGAAATTTATTATATTGCGAATCATTTGATAATATCGGAAAAATCCTTTATTTTTAGTCTTCTTGCATATCCCGGGCTAAGAACATCTCTCGTTAGTCGATTTGGATGGTTCATTAACCGTGCTGAGTAACTGGTGCTTAGCCCTCTTATGTCCTTATGGACCGTATTTACATTAAGATCTTTGTGGATATTCGTATTTCTTTGAAGCCTGTTCTAAATTGAATTACACGCTGCGCCCCAAAGTCCGATTCCATATGCCCAACATGGTTTAATCATCATATTAAAAATCAACAACTTGTTATCTAGGCTTAATTTAGATTTGTGTCCTATAACCCATTGAAGGCTTGCTTGTTATAGTTTCGCTTGAGAAATTTTGTTTTCTAGGTAAGTCTTATATCTAGTGTCATCCCAAGGTACTTGACACTATATTTTGTGGTATAGCCTTTCTGTTTATTTTTAGTGGTGGACAAGTTTCTTTCTTCAAAGTAAATGTTGTCTGAACACACTGAACCTAGCCATAGCTCTAACTTTTCAAATATTCAAAACTTTTCAAATATTTCAAATATTCAAGATGAAGATGAAGAAACAGGGATTACATATTATTTCATTATCTGCAATACCTTTAAACACGCAAAAGTCTGTATAAAATAATCTTCTGACTTGATCGCATGCTTCGGTTATTATTTGGCCTTTCAAGTCCTCGACAACTATATTGGTAGCTTGGATAGCTTCCGTGCAGTATGAGTTTATATTAAAGTGTTTAATATTGTTTTTTATTAATATAGCTGAGCCAGCATGTGCTTTAGAATTTGTAATTCGGTATCTGAAAATAGTTTTTTTTTTTGCTGAAATGGGTTTCGGATATTAGGAGAATATCTATATTATGAGACTTGAGTAGCGTTTTAACCTCGAGTACGTGTTTTGATAGGCCGTTAGCATTCCACAGGAGAATATTCATGAAATTGTATGGATACTGGACTTCGTCGTAAGGGTGACGAGAAGATTGATCATAGTTGTGATTTGTTGCATGACTTTGCTTGAGAAGCATTATCATTTCTCGCATTTCGCTTGAGGCATCAGAGGCGTATTCTTTTGACTGAGGGATTGAGTTACTTGGACTCGGATCTTGTGTGCTTTTCAAGTAAATTTCAGGGCGGTTGCGAGACTCGATTGGGTGAAAGTGGAGCTGATTTCGGCTGGCTGACACTTTTGGGATTGTTGTCCTCCATTCTTCTTAATGGTGGGTATTTAAGTTTCTGCCACGTCAGATTAAAGAAATCACATGATAGGGAGTAGCCCTGTCTGAAACCCCGACGGAGCTGGTGGTATTGCTAAACGTCATTTTACTTAGCCGTATTAGTATAATGGGACCTTCGTATAATAAAATTTGGCTTTTTGGTAACGTATGTATTGTCTAGCCTTGAAACTAATGGAAAATAAAGGCGTAGAATTATGTAAGTACTTCCATTGCAAACCAGCTGGCAAAACAAACTCAGCTTATATAAAAGTTAAAAACATGAAGTGTAATTAAATAATACGAGTAAACAGTAACAAAAGCTATTCAAACTAGCACCCAAAAATATGTTGCTGAGGACGTATGGAGAACACGTTTGGTGTATTCCATCGTCACGGAGCTAAACGGAATGTACCATAGTAGACTAAGTTTAATTTAAAAATTCTATCGTTTCCTTAATCCATGGTCATTCTGCAAAATCGCGTAATTGACATTGGCTGCCAAAAGTTGGATTTGCTCACACAAGCTCTTGGCTCAATCCTTATCCATTCGTCCTGAAATATACTGGCCAGAAATGCGATTGCTTTATAAAAAAGAGAACCTTTTTGAAATATGAGTGTTTTTACTCTAGAAAATAATTTATGCAACCTCCCATACGCGGTTTTGCATTTTGTTGATACGCGGTTTTGCATTTTGTTGATACGCGGTTTTGTACTTTAAACGACGATATATTAGTTGAAGTACGATAAATCTAAAAGTATGGCTCATAAGGATACCTTAATTTAAACAGAAAGAAAATAGTTTTCCTCCTCTAATTTATGCCGAACTGAATATTTGTATTACTGTTTTACATTTTGATTTGTTTACCCCGAACGAAGTCGGGTGCTCTGCTAGTCTAATATAAAAATCTCGTGTCACGGTGTTAGTGGTCGAACTCCTCCTAAACGGCTTGACCGATATCTATGAAATTTTTTGTGCATATATGGTAGGTATGAGAATCGGATGTAAAGTATATTTCATACCGCTATGTGCAGGAGGCGTGGCACCTCCCATACAAACCGAATTTTTCACACTGCATATCTCTGAAAGTGTTCATGGTAGAGTACTCGATCATTGTATGGAGATAAACGAAAACAATCGCATACTCATGGAGAAAATTTGTGGTTTTTGGAAAAGGGGACGTGGCAACTCACATACAAACTGAACTTTTCATACTGCATATCTCTGGAAGTGTTCATGGTAGAGTATTGAGATATATGAAATCAATGCCATACTCTTAGAGAAAATTGCGGCTATTTTATAAGGGGGCGTGGCGCCTTTCAAACGCACTGAAGATATTACGTACCTTTGTATGCATATATAGACTTTTGATAGGTTATTTAAGATGGCAACGGAAATATACCTTCTGACAACCACCAAACCGTAATATTAGAAGATAAATGCGTCACTAAAAATCTTGAACGTGAACTGTTGGTGAAAATGTTGGATCAAAATGTTTCAATACACAAAATTAATTTTGGGCGGGACGAAGTTCGCCGGGTCTGCTGGTTATTAAATAAAAATAAAAAATGCATAGGCAACTGGCTGAGTCAGTGGGATCGTCGGCTCGAAGCCTACTGAAAAAAGGAGGAAATGTGGTGATTTCCGAAATAGCTATCACTTCTACCATTTTTTCAAATTATTGTTGCTTTTCCACAATAAGTTTTTCATTAAAAACTTCCTCAAGCTCATTAAAAATTGTTGAATAAAAAAAAAACGAAATATAGCCAATACTGGTCAAGAAAAGGAGTTTCTATTATTGCCATCAGTGTAAATTACAAACACCGAAAATTATTGGCGAATAATCCCGGAATTCTCGGGACGTAAAAAAGGCCGGGATCCCGGAATCCCGGGATCAACATTCCTAGTATGTATGTACCTGAAAGCCTTTTTTCCAAAACGATGCGCTGGTTCCAAAACGCTGTGTGTACTATGTATTAAGTTTTATTTTCCTCCCGACTAGCAATGTTCTAAAAGAACTGATCGCCAAGCAAGAAATTTCCAGGTTTTTCTAATTTGACTGTATGTATTAATAATTATATTACAGAAACTATTTGCATATTTTGCTGTATCAGTTTTTAAGAAAACACAAAGTTCGGATGATAAGAAGACCCCGTGAGCTTGTGTGTATATGGTTTTGAAATAATTTTTAAATTTCCGTCAAAAGTAAACAGTAGTGTAAATAGTAGTAGTGTAGTATGTTTATACAGACACCTTTGGGTAGCTACATACATACATATGTATGTATGTACATTAGGGTGGTCCAAAAACGCACGTGGAAAAAGTAAAGTCGGAATTTTTATGTTCGCACCGCCTAGGATTGTTCTATACCGAAAAAATATACCCCTATTTTTTATTTTGAAATAAAAAAATATTTAGAGGTCGCTCAAAGTGCTCAAAGTTTTCCATGTATTTTATATGGGAAAAAACACTTTTCGTAGAAATGGTATAGAAGTCCTCAAAATCAATATCTTTCGCTAAACTTTGTATCTCTTCAGAAGATTCCGTTATTTATTTAACCATTTTTTCATAGTAACTATATTTTATAGGTCCGCCACAACTCCCAAAAAATGTCAGAAAATGCAATGGGGGGATAAATAAAAAATCTTTAGTATTAAAAAATGGTTAAATAAACAGTTGGGTATTGTTATTAGAAGTCTCTTGAATTCCTACGAAAGGTTGTTTTTTCCCCATACCCAATCCTAGGGGGTGAGAGAATTAAAATTCCAACTTTACTTATTTTGGACCACCCTAATGTGCATACATAGTATTTGTAGGCACATTTGTGTGCGATTTTATTTGTTCATT